GTTTTATCCACTGCCTTGCAATTTACAACCTCTTCCCATTATGAGTTGGTTAAGAGCCATTCGGGTAGGACTTTGGTCCTTAAACTCGACCAACTCATAATGGAGTGGCATGCTGATGGTTCGAGTCTCTTCTCCCTTCCCCTCCCCTTCTCTTGTAGTGTAAAAATATCGTTGCTTATAAGAAAAAGACTATCGATACATAGCAAATATGACTACAATTAGGCATCTAGTTTTAACACCATTGGAGGCATATTATATTTTTGGGACAATCTCAACATGACTCGCTAATTAGACACGAAGTCAACGCAAACTTATGAGATATGAGTTCATCTTTGTTGGATTTGGAGTATAAATAAATTGACCAATCATACTTAATAAATGAGTTATTATGAACTCAATTATACGAACCTCACACGCTACAAAGTCGGTTACTAATGTCACGGATAGGAGATAAAATAACAATATCATTGACACAAAGGTAAAGGTAAAACGACACGAAAACAATCCTACCCACACCATTTGATTTCCAACAAAATNATACAAAGGTAAAACGACACGAAAACAATCCTACCCACACCATTTGATTTCCAACAAAATAATAAGTTGGTAGTCCTTGAGACTGTCAAAAAGGAAAGTGGTCTGCTGCAAAAGCACTTCTTCAGTCTCCTTTGAAAAAGATGATTGACTCAAAAGAATCTTTCTATGGCCAACCTTTGGCTTCTCAAGGTATGTCTTATATACTGCTCTGATTCTGGGGCTCAAAATGGGCAAATCTGGCAGCTGCTAATCATTAATATTCTTGCCATTACATATACGGTTTCTGTTAGCCATAGTATCTGAAACTTTTGGAAGTATGTATTAAGCTACACAATTTTTAATAGTCGAGAGTCGTTTTAATCACATGCTCGTTAAACTTGTTGANCCATTACATATACGGTTTCTGTTAGCCATAGTATCTGAAACTTTTGGAAGTATGTATTAAGCAACACAATTTTTAATAGTCGAGAGTCGTTTTAATCACATGCTCGTTAAACTTGTTGATGAATACGATATATATAAATTAGAATGTACATAATGACGCAAATCATACATATTATTTCAACCAACACGTTTTTTAGGAGTTTCAAATTTTCGGATCTTTGAGATGACAACTCATTTGTTTTTTTTTTTCCCCATTTGAGGTGAATCGAAGGACATGTGGCTTCAATCTAAACTTGGGATGCGTGCAACATCTACGACGCTCATTAAATTTATAATTGCCCAACTTGGGATCTCAAAAAAATGATCTAAAGTTTATTTTGTGAGTTCGTTTTTTGAAAGGANGCAACATCTACGACGCTCATTAAATTTATAATTGCCCAACTTGGGATCTCAAAAAAATGATCTAAAGTTTATTTTGTGAGTTCGTTTTTTGAAAGGAAATTGTTCAAAATATAAGGGACAGGAAATCCTAGAGATCAAGACTAAGAAGTCATTCATCTTGTGTTACTAATTGGCATGGAGCAGAACCGACTTGACCCACCATGTGACGGCCCATGCTTTCCAGGGACCGGAGCCAATGTTGTAATTCCTGGGGATGATTCTCTGAAGAAAGAGTTCTACTAGAAGTGCATGAGATTCTTTTATTAATTTCAAACTCCGAAGAAGAGTGAAACTAACCTTATTTTTATTAACTAGTAAATTATAGCGGTTAGGTTCATAGAATGTCTGATGGAATCAACTGGATACGCTCTCATGATATAATAAAAGTTAGTTTTATCCATCACTTTAGGAAAAAGAATGAAATGATTTTTCCACGTTTACACATACGAGAAATCACTCGTTCACTCGTTCACAGACAACAAGTCAACATTGTGAACTTTATTTCAGACGAGGGTGTGGGTCAAGGTGTAATGCGTTACCTATACAACAACCAAACACTGTGTATGTAGAAACTTGGCTGAAAACGAAACAAGAAAATCACATGATTGATCTCAGTGTAACATACATAGACAACATTGTAACCTTGATTTAAGTTTTTCTCTTTTACTAGGCAAAAAAAATTTGATTAATGTGATATTTTTCCATGTAATTAGGTATGATATTCGATCGTGTCATATAAATTCTTTATCATGTCAAGATTGATTTGACCTATACATGACTATTTATAATGGTGTAGAGTTTGGTTCCTAGTGTGTATACATGGGATATTATAAATCTACTTATTATACAGGTTTCAGTAATAATTCCAGGTATGTCACAGCTTTGTTCAAAACTAAATTCATGATGGATAGTTTTTGTTTTTTTTTTTCCGATTTGATGTTAAATTGATGGATCATATGAACAATTGTAAATCCTATAGAAGTGCTATATAAGTACATAGGTAAAACAAAGATTATCAAAACTGGCTATTTCTAACCAAATTATACATATAGGGACCAGTTATGCAGATTTAAGTGATGGATTCTTCCATAAGAAGCAATAGAACTAGTAAAAGAGCCCAAAACAGGCATTACTCTAAATAATCACTCTTGTTCACCAGTACCATGAAATCTGAAACATGAGTCCCTACAAGGCACCCGAATTTTCACTCTTTTCCCATTTTTGCATATGTGATGCTATTAAACACCTATGCATTTTTTTTTTGGCGTATTATCGTGAATCATTAACACCTTTGCTATCTCATCAGAACAAACTCAATAAGGATTAAAAGAGGTCTAAGATACGTCTAAAAAAGTTACAAGAGACGACTCGGGAAGACAAAACAAAAATCAACAAAAAAATTTGACAAGTTTAAGTTTATCCTTGACATAATTGGGTGGTGAATGGGTGTGTATATTACATTGGCTTAATGAAGGGTCGACACCAACGTTATCAAATAAGGTGTATACATGACACTAAACTGCTGCAACGTTGTTAGGGACGAATTGAGTAAATTTTGACACAATATAATTTAGAGAAGATACAAATCGGGAGATTAGAGAGATCTCACTTGATTCTAACCCATAGTAACTCTAAACTATTGTACATATTGGGTCTGTTTAGAGATGACTTAAAACCTCAATTTTTTCAATGAAAAAGTCTTGTTCGTTTGGATTTAGGCTTATTGGACGATTTTTTCATCTTTTTTGGGTAAAAACAGCTTTTATCAGTACCAAGGAAAAGCTGAAAAATAAGCTTTATTCAAGGGTTTCTAAGAAAAAATCGACTTTTTCGAAAATACTCCAAATGGATTTAAGAGGCTTTTTAATTCTGATTTTTTCATTTCATTTTTCAAGTTTCTATTTCGCACCCAAAAAAATCAGCTCTAAATGGGTCGATTGTGTTTTTTTTTTTGAAATATAAATAGCAAAACAAGAAGATCGTTAAACATAGATTGTTGTTGCTGTTGTAATACTCACATGTTGCCTTTGGAACATCAAAAAGAAAGAGGGGGAAGAATGTAGAATATAGGACCCTATTTGGATCAAACGACTCTCTTGAACTTGGATTTTGTCAATGTGCGAACAGATAATATGCACATTCTCTTTCCCAAGAAATTTATATAACAAACAAAATAACTAAAGAGAACACAACAACATTGCCATATAATATGGCAAGTTCATTCACCTCTTTCCTTCCCAAGATAAAACATCTAGTCTATGAAACAATATCAGCCGCTTAGTGGGTACTACGTGGCAGTTCTGTGTAATTTTTGTGAGTAAACCATATATATAGTCCTTGTCTATTAAGTCCATAAATTCTTTAATTGAGTCAATTTAATCCTTCTACTTCCATTATTTTTTTTAACGAAAAGCGGTGAAGTGTATCACTTGAGTGACACAAATGTTTTAGAATAAATTACACATATGACCGTCAAACTATGATCATTGTGTCATTTAAGCTCATAAACTTTTTTTTTTGTGTAAATTAATCTTCTGAACTATCAAATTGTGTCAATTAAGCCCTTCTGTCTTTTTGTGTTATATGATCACATAAGTGATACACTCTAACAGAGGCAGATAAAAATGTTCAATTTATACAATTAGAGAGTTTAAAAGTTTAATTAATATAAAAAAATAAAAATTAAGGACTTAATTGATACAATTGTCATATATGTAGTTTACTCTAATTTTCGTATCCAACGAAAAATTATCCCAAAACTTGATTGCTGGACATAATTTTTTAAAAAATTTTGACAACTTCCAAATGACAATAATTATACACCCGCCACATTTTTACATTACTTTTTTATACCACCCCAACATTGACCGTTCGATTAATAAGTCTTACAGAGTTTGTTAAATATTTAATGACTCTAATTATGTCACATTAGGTGGAATAAGAGAAGTGGTGTACAAAAGTGGTATCCAAGCATTATTCATAATTAATTGAAAATTTATACCAAAACTGAAAAATTTCTCCTGGTCTCCCTCCCTCAATCATGGACAAATATTAGATTGATAAATGTAATATATTATATGTTACTATGTATAATAGTGCATAGTTTTATTTAGTCATATGAAGTAAATATTCAAAAGCTGCACAGTATTATTGAAAGAAAAGCGGTGAACAGTTCAAAGATAAGTGTTTGCTCTCATAACTGCATTAATAAATGCAAACGAGGAGAGAGAAAAGAGGTGCAACAGAAACCAGCCTTTCCTCGTTTTGACATTTAAAGTTGGAAGTACCTTCTTAAAGAAGATCCAGAAAAGGGTAGAAGAGAACAATGCAGGCATGCAATGGCTGTGATATCATGCGAGAGAGAGAGAGAGAGAGAGAGAGAGAGAGAGAGAATGGAATAGGAAAGGATATGTGGCTTGAAAAACGCAGAAGATTGCACCCATGAAATTACATTCGTAGTGCTTCAACGCATATACCTCTCTCTAGCACAAACACATTTATCCATCGTAGCTAAGGTTTTCTGGATCAAATCGATAAGGTAGGTTGGAAGAAGTGAGAGAGAGAGAGCGGAAAATGCAGCTATCAAACCACAGAGACAATCAAACAAGACAAAAACATACAATATTAATGGGTAAAGGGTCAGATTCAATACAACCATGACTAGGTAGCTAGCTTCATCTTCAACCATGTTAGTTCTAAGATATCACAAAACCTCAAAACACATACACAATCTAATATATAACTTACCCATTTCTCAACGCCTCAGACCAAAGTATCTGAAACTACACAAATATTGCCATAATCTAGTCATAAAATCAAATGGACAGACACATATGTCCACTGGAACCCCATCACTTCATAAAATATTCAATATAGAGCGAAAACGGGATAAAAAATCTATGAGAGAAATATAACCCTTGAAAGCACAAGTCTCAGCCGGATCAAACTTCATCTCCCACAGGTCACATACTACTTCAAGTACTCACTCATGGTCTCTTACCACTTGATCTCCAATGCTTCTAACAAATGAAGATGTTCTATGGCTACAATATATATGATAAATATAGATAGAGCAATGCATATGGATTAGAGGTAAGACCGAGTATATTTGGCTGTCCCCTAACCCTTAATAACAGAAGTCTCTTACATTAGGCTGCATTTTTTTTTTCTGTAGTTTGCTGTTGGTGTTTTCATGATCTAGGGTTTCTTACCAAGGGTGTGCTTGTTGTTATGCATCCAAACTTTGAGCACATGCCTTCTCACTCCAGCCTCATTGCAGAATTGCTCCACCACCTCCTCATCTTGCTTTTGAATCCTCCAATCTAACCTCTCCGCCAAATCCATCATCTTCTCTTTCTGTTCTTGAGTAAACTTCGTCCTAACCCTCTTCTTTGACACCCCTCCAATAGTATTATTTGGGTTCGACATGTCCTCCTCCGACCCACCACCGCCGCCGGAAGACGACGGCAAAGCCAATGGCCTCTGGTGTTGCACCACCTGGAGATACCGGCCAGATGGAGTTCGGTAGTAGGGTGGTGAAGAAAACTGGCCGTGAGGGTGGTGGGTCAGTAGGTGGTGCTGCGGCAAGTAGAACGGTTCGCTACCGCTGACGATGGTGGAGTGAGTTTCTTTCCGGTGGAAGTTGCGGTGGCAGAGACAGGCTGCGCATTTAAGGGCGTCGATGGTACCGTCAGCTCCGGCGGGCATGAACTCCCCACACCCATCGACGGCGTGGCCACCGAGACCCACCGCATGGTTCTTCAAGCACTCTCTGTACCTAGGCTTCAATGGCGGCTCTGATCCAACTGGGGTTGGCATTTGGGGTCGAGCTAAGTTTTCAAGCGAATCATAACTCGGTGGCAACTCAGTCTCCTCTTCATGCTCTTCTTGATCTTCAAACTCCATTTTAGCTCATCTTCTTTAGCTAATACGCAGTAATTAAATATGGATCATGACCTCTGGATATACTAGGTTTTCCGGTGACCGGCGAATGGTCTTGCCGGTTGTGCTCTAATTATATTTTAGGATATGAGAGAGAGTGAGTTTGGGATTGAAAAAAAGAAGCTAAGAGGTGAGAGAGAGAGAGAGAGAGAGTGTGGCCATTAATCTGTCTCTGTGCAAAAACAGAGCTGTTTTATCCCAAAAACCCCATGTACTTCCCGGTTTTCTGAATGCTCTCTCTCTCTCCGTAACTGGCTATAGCCGGTGAATGGGAACTACTATTATTTATGCTTTGAACTTCTCTTCTTGTTTCCTTTTACCGGAAGGTTTAAAAGAGTCAGGGTCTTGTGGAGAAAATGTTGTTCCTCTTTGGGTAAAAAAAAAAAAAAGAAGGGTAAAGCTATGTATTTAATTTATAAATTTATATGAAATTTTATTAAATATTAAAATTTGATGTTGATCCAATAATTTCTATAAAACAATATCATTATGTCAACAAATTAATTCAGATTTTTAGGTTTAAATAATATTACTCAAAAAGGAAAGGGGTTTTGTACTTCGCTTCTTGGAAATTTTTATAAATTTTATTTTATTTTTTTAAAGACTAAATTTCTAATATTATACCTTCAATATATCAATAGTGTTATAATATGACTATTATATTAGTTTTTGTTTTTTTTTTATTTGTCAAAAGTCTACCTGTTGACAATGTTATATTTGAATTGGCATGACACGTTAAAATATTAAGGGTGCAAAGTAAAAAATTGAAAGTGTAATATAAAAAATTTAATCTTTGAAAATAAAAAATAAAAATCTTCAATATTTTTAGGGTACAAAGTATACTGCATCAAAACAAAAAATATTCATGGGTGAAGATTATTAGAATGTAATTTGAGAATATCAATTAAAGGTTTAATAGATTAGTTGTTAATATTGTATTGAATAAATAGTAATGAAGTACGTCTTCAAACATTGGGTGTAACCATTCAATAAAAAACAATCAAATAGTTGGGTAATTATAAATTTTTGTGAGGCTCACCTATAAACTTGTTTATTTATTAGTCTACTGTTATACCATGTGACACTGCTGACATGATATAACGGTTACACTCAATATTTTTTTTCCTTAAGAATGCTTCAATGGTTGAATCTAGTCTTTAGTAATTCAGAGGCCTTAAGTTTAGCTTATTGTCATTCTCTCTAAAAGTTAGTTGGAAGGAGGGGGAGGGTTAAGAAAAATATTCTAATAGACCACTTAATTTCATGTTTGGTCGAACTTTCAAACCCAAAATTTATATGTGTGTCCACAATGAATATAATATTGAAAGCCAATTATGGGGGGTTTGATAAAACCCATGGAGTTAGTGGGGTTCAAAAGTGAAAAATTGGATTTGAAGGCAAAAAATTTATCTTACACCAAAATTTATTCATTTATTTATCTAATAATAGACATTTTAGTAAATTGAGTAATCTGATTTGACCTGAATCAATGGAACTCATATATATTTATGTCATCTATCAAATATGAGATTGCATTGGATTTTATGAATGAATCCCCGTAAAAATTCCTTAGGTTGGGTTTGATGGGGTTTTCTAAAACTAATCCCATCCCCCCCCCTAACACGGGGATCATCCAAACATTCTTACCTCAAGTCATTGTAGTCAACTGTTGAGCTCGAGAAATTAGTTGATGCAAGTCTAAACACTATATAATAATAAATAAATTTTCAAATCAAATTAAATGCAAGTAATGAATACTTTATAGAAGCAGAGTTGATATTACGTACTAAAAATAAATTCTAAAAGTGAATATATTTTACTGAAAAAAGCTACAGAATCACACTGAAATTTAATTTTGGCTTGAATAATTTGCAACCGGTGATTACCCTAGCTTGTCACATAATGTTTTATAATGCATAGTGTTCAATTAATTACCATATTGAAATCCACTTTTCGACACTGTATCATGATCACTTTTTCATTAAACAAAAATATATCATGACTAAATCTTTTTTATGCAGTTACTTTTTTTTTATTATTTTATCATTTTTTAACTTATTGGATTCAAATCAATAACTTCATATCAATTCTAACTCGATGCCCCTGCAAGACCATATTCTTATCTTCTTTTTTTTTTTTCTAATAAAATCTAGAAAATTGTAAATAAATTTTTCACTTGTTAAATTACAAAAGAAGGTAAGACTAACAATCATATCGTATTATATTTACGTTGTATTATTTTTGTTGTCATGTAAGAAATTTCTCAACTTTAATATGGCCGGTTTAATTAGTCATGTCAAGTTATCTGACGCAAAGACAATTCGACTCTAATTAAACATGAATAATTTGAAACAATCTCTCTAACGTTAAAAAAAAAAAAAAAAAGTCTAACATGACCCATTTATCAGTGTGTTTGACTACTAACCAATTTAATTATTTTAGACATATTAAACATATTAGAAATCAAAATTCAAAAAACATATTTCACATAAAAATAACTATATATTTTATCTACACTTCAGACCCATTTAACATCTATGAGTTACATTTAGGTGGGTCAATTTCGTATTCATATTGCCTAGATTAATTAAATAGGTGAATCGTGCCAATTTTGTATTACACAGGTAGATCTTGAACATGATCCATTTATAAACTTGTGCTAACGGGTTGTATCATTTTCTTGTTCATGTCCAAAAGTAATTAATCTTAACCCATTACAAATGTGTCGGTACTCACTATGAAGTTTTTTATTTCGAATCATATTAGTTATACAGTTGCTTGCATCATGTATCATTATATATTCTAACGGTTGAAATTGACAAAAAAAAAAAAAAAGATACCTTAATTGAGATGAGATTAGTAATTAAAAAACTAAATTAATATAATTAAAATTTCAAAAACCATTTTAAAATTATATTTGCCCTTTTGAAAATGGGCGTTTCTAAAAAACAACAGACAAACCAAAGCCCTACATGAGTGCATGTGATCCCTAATAAGATCATCCAACCGGATACAAGGAATGACGCTGATGAGACGTGCTGACAAACCCACTCGCTCTGTAGCATCTTGTGTATGTCAGCTGGCGGGAAACCGGAAATACATGTAGAGACAGAAAGAGAAAAGGACACTTCTATATGTCACTCCATCTCTGTCCCACCCTGCCTCTTTCTTCTCTCCCATCTGCGACTCTGTACACTGCAACTCACACTCTCTCTTGTATAAAAAAAATGTAGTTAATGCCCTAAATTCTTATTATTACGGGATCTAAAAAAGATTAGGTGTGCGCAGACGCCAAAGCCCGTCCTCTCTCAGTCTCTTGTATCTGATTCTACAGTTTCAGGTTTTAATGGTGTGGATAATTATTTTTAGATTTAAACAACATTAGTCTTAATGTTTACTAATCCGTTTGTTGGAGAAGTTGTGGAGAGTAACGGTGCAGAGTGTCTGCGTGTTTCTGTGCGTTGGAGTGGAGACAGAGAGATCGAATTGCGGGGAAAAGGGTGGTCGATGGTGACAGCACGACCAAAGGATGGGGTCCCCTGCGATTTCCAGTTCTATTTCTCTTGCCAGCCTGTCTCTCTCTCTCTCCATTTGCTTTCCCAATGGTGGCCTCCTGCTGGCCTGCCTACTCCCATCAACCAACACTTAGTTTGTCAAAATATTAAGCTATCTGTTAATACTGCAAGAATATAACATAAATTAGAGATTTTGGACTTTTTTTAAGTTATTTATTTTGTAAATTAGTGAATTTGACATAATTAAAAAATAAATTGGGTATAAATAAAATTAATTAAAACAATTAATATACAACATGACTTATTTATAAATTTATTATATACGATTCACTTTTAATACGAATCCGATATGATATAATTCGTTATATATATAAAAAATATTTTTTAATACAACNTTTAAGTTATTTATTTTGTAAATTAGTGAATTTGACATAATTAAAAAATAAATTGGGTATAAATAAAATTAATTAAAACAATTAATATACAACATGACTTATTTATAAATTTATTATATACGATTCACTTTTAATACGAATCCGATATGATATAATTCGTTATATATATAAAAAATATTTTTTAATACAACCTCACTAAAATCCAATATAAACTCGTCTCGTTACGATTGATAGACCAACTCACAACATATGTTTGTGTTCATATACCTCTTGTGTTGTTATTGTCAATGGCATCTATCCTGTTTTTTCACAGCTGTTAGCTCATGTAAGAATCATATGTCAACTTAAAAAAAATTGATCAAATAGTACAAATTTTATTCTAATTTTTTTTTTCTGCTAAAAAATATCAACTTCTTTGTATGACTCTAAATGTTAAACAACCTCATCAATCCACGTCTATCCTTCTTTTCTCCCTCCCCCTTCTTGCTAATGACTTTAATTTTAATTGCATAATTGAACAAAAATAAATAAATTACTATTTAAAATATAAATGTTCCACAATTAATGTTCAATTTTTTTATATTTTATGGTGTATTTAGACATGAAATTTTTGTTAGTGCATGTATATATATATATATATATATATATATATATAGCACATAAATTTAGTTGTAACTGAAATTTTTCCTTATTTCAGTTGTAACTTAATTTGATTTAATCAAAAGTTTTGATATGAAACTATTCTAGTTATATTCTAGAAATGGGATTCTTATCCGATCATGAGATTGCTAACATCCATCTAAATTAGGATTGTTCAATAAGTTGTGATAGACTATATTTCTAAATCATGTAAGTGGTGTCGTTCAGACATTGTTCAATACACACTCAAAGGCGGAGTTAAAAAAAATTCTTATAGGGTGAACACTTTAACAAGTTCAAAATTTGTGTTTTCCGACCAAACGATAAAGTGATGATACATCTATACATAATCATATTATATTTAATACTTACAAATTTAATTAATACAAAAAGATAAAAAAAATCAATATATATCGTGCATATATGAAAAAAGACCAATTAGAACACTATATAACAAATAAGAGATCCCTATCAAAGATTAAATTTTTGTTTCAGTGCATTATTTTGGTCATTAAAAAAACGAAAACGTTTCGACTTATTTCGGAAAAGTTTCAACCCGTTTTAGAAAAAATAAAAAATTTAAGAACTATTTTTTCAAA